CAATGTTTACTGGTACTCATTTTAGGCCGAGTCAACCTCGGGGAGGCTCATAACCGGTTCAGATAAGCGTCACTGGGTTTGGTCCCTGGGTTCGTATCGCAGCGTAGCGCTAACCACTACACTCCCGCTCCTGACACACAGATACACACACACACGCGTGCGCGTACACACTCTCAACACACACACACTCCCAGCAGTGATGTGAGGACTCTCAGCTCGAGTAGTTGGGTGGTTAGTTTCGCCAGTGCGAGTAGGCGTATGCAAGTTGTATTGAAAGTTTTTTCTTCACGGAATGTGTTCTCTGTGTTGTCGTAAGTGGGGCTTTCGTCCACTGAGTGTCAGTTGGACCAATGAACGGGCCCCAGGAACAGAACCCATTCATAAGGCACAACTGGCCGTAAAGTGTTATTTCAGTTTCATTTATTAGGTATAGCCCTGTGAGCCATGAGGCTCTTGACTCGGGTGCAACCGCAACAAACAACAGAAACATAAGGTAAAAAACAGTAAATCTTCCAGAAAAAAGCGCCGTACATCAACGTTGTGTGCAAATATCCCAATGGGATGCAAGTCGAACAAGTACAACCATAAGACAATTTAGATAAAGTTATCAGGCTAAATCCGTACTTCAACAAACAAACATGACTTAACCATACCTTTTCGAATATCACCAAAACAAAGATATAAAAATAATGTAACAGTGATCATGGGAACTGTGATTCAAGTTTAACAATAAACGATATACATAACACGTACAACCAAACTTTGCAGCCATAGCTGGCAGCATGAGTCACTCCATAACAGCAGGAGTATCAGTAGGAGCATCAAAAAATTTAAATTCACCTTTAAAGATCAGCACACTATAATTGAAACTCAAGATCATACTTTGCAGTGGACATCCGGAGCGGTGCATTTGATTTCAGGCCACTCTGCATCGCAGTGGCAGCGGGAGGTGTACAGTTCCTCAAGAGCAGTTTTGAGTGCAGGTCTCACAGGTAATGATCCAAGTTGCAGTTTATTGGCGATAGCATTCCAGACCCTGGAGGCATCAACAGCAAAGGACCTTCCTCCAGTATTTGTACGGCAATAAGGAATGTGAAGCTGGCAAATGAGCGAAGACCTTAGGTCACATTTGTTCTTCGAAACAGTGAGGAGATCCAGCAGGTTGTTTGCTGATTTTTTTTAAAGTACATCGTGAATAAATACGATCTGATGCACACGCCGTCGATCATTAAGAGATGTAATGTTTGACCCAATGTAGAGATCGCAGTGGTGGGTCCTATATGGGCAGTTTAATGCAAATCTTAAGGCCGAGTGATAAATTGGGTCAAGCTTCTTCAGTACAGTACTGGGGGCTGATTTATATACGATGTCACAGTAATCAAGTAGATGAAGTATGGTAGCTTTGATTAACATAGGGGGAAGCAATGCTTGTGTCGAAACAGAAAACCCATTTTTTATTTTGTCTTTTTACCAATATAATCAATGTGATCTTGAAAATTCAGTTTTGAATCAAAGATGACCCCAAGATACTTACAGATCTTGACTTAAGGTATTTGATAATTATTTAAGGAATGTAATTGTGGAAAAATTACTTCCCGTTTTAGTCCTGGTGAGAAGCATAGCACCTTGGTTTTGGCGGTATTCAGGACTAGTTTAAGAGCAACTAGCATTATCCCCTCCCTTTGATGCTGCTAATCCTGCATAATGCACGGGCATAATATGACTTTGAAACCCCCCGCCCACCTCCTACGCATTTCACAAGTAGTGCTAATCACATACCTGCATTTCCCATAAATATGCTAAATTCCTCTTGATATGCAAATTATTTTGTCAAGGCGCCCTTCCCCCCCTTCCAACCCAGCTTAAATATACGCTCCAAGCCTGGTGGTGTTTCATTCATACGCTGTCTCCCCGACAGACCTGGTCTTCACCTGAGGACGGCTGCTTGCGTTGTGGCCGAAACGTCGTGAGAATTATTTTATTATGTTTTATTTTTATTATTTTATTACTTTCCTTCTACGTGACTTTACCGAAAGAACCAAGAAGATGAATCCCTGCAGCCACGAAAGCTTTAAATCGAAATTCAGTTACGTGTTACTTATTTATTGGATATTTACTTTTGTTACTTATTTACCGTTTTAAGTTCACTCATTTCCAGTTAGTTTGTTTTCTTTGTGCACGTTATGATTTTAATGTTAACAATTGATAGTGGAATGTATTACAAATGTAAACTTTGTATTAATATGATGGAATTAAGTTGTGGTAACGACGTTAAAGATATGAATGCATGCGGGTATTTGACGATGCGGGCTATCTGAAATTTGTTTTGCACAACACGCTATTCTGCGGGGTATATGCTTCTGCGGGTTATATGCGTATGTGGGCTATATGCGGGAAAATACGGTAATTTGGTAGTTCAAATTTTTTTTTTATGTCATCAACAGGGACAAAATTTAGATAGGTCGGTAGTTATTTGGATAATCTTAAGGGCCCTCTTTGTGAAGTGGACGAACATAGGAATGTTTCCATTCTAGAGGTAGCAATGCTTCTTTGATGAACAAGTTGAAAATATGGGCTAGAGGGTTGTATATTAGGTGACCAACAAAGACGGGAATACTATCCGCTCCAGTAGAGGAGGACCCTTTGAGGTAGGACAGTTGTTTTAGAACATTACTTTCGTGGATAGGCTGGAAACTAAATTCGTTGAATGTTTGGACAGGGGTGTAGGAAATTGCATGAGCAGGGGTGACTCCCAATACATTATCAAAAAGGTCACCAGCTTCAGAAAAATTAAGATAAAAATTGTCGACTATTTTTTGGGGCTCTGAAAAATAGTCCCCATTTCGGTTGCGCGCAATGGAAAGATTATCTGTGTTAGATGCCTTTTCGATATATTTTACTGTTTTCCAGAAGACCTTGGCATTGCCATGTGCTTCCAGGAGAGTGGAGGAAAAGTAAGCATTTTTTGCATGCCGTATTTTTTGACACATCTATTCCTTAAAATCTTGTACTCTAGCCAGTCACTTACCAAATTACTTTCATGAGCACATGCAAAAGCCTTGTCCCTAGTTTTCATGAGCTTAGTAATAAAAGGATCAAACCATGGTGGGCGGTTGCCTTTAATTTTAAATCGAACCAACGGAGCACGTTTGTCAATAATTTGGAGAAACGTGTACCTGAAGGTCTCACAAGCCGTAGTCAGGTTGGGGATATTGCAGACCTTGTCAATATAAGAGTGAAGCACATCATTAGTAAACGCCTGTGTGCTGAAGTGTCTCATAGAGTGATTATCAACCAATTTAGGGGGAGCTTTGGGTCTGCCTGATGATCTCACCCCAAATATGAAGGAGTGATCACTAAGGTTATGACCCAGAATACCAGTAAGTGGAAAATTGTGAGGAGCATTAGTCAACAAGACGTCAAGCAGAGATGACTGTACTGGATTTTTTCGGTTGGGTTTCGTGGGGTCATTTATTAATCGAAATCGGTTAGATTCATTTGCAAAATGTGTGGCCACGGCTGGCAGGTTTAGCCAATTCCAATTCAGATCACTCACTAAAACTCTTTCACCTTTAGAGAGGCTCCAAGAAGCTCCCTCAGTGCAGACACAGCTTCAAAATCCTTATCACTAGGCGGTTATGGCGGTGCGTTGCAAATAATGTAGCTTTTTGCAGCACAGTGTTATTCATTATTGCATGGATAGGATGTCTCACCTTTATTTTATTATTGGAAGTTCGTATCATCACGTTTACAGGTCAATTATAGGTACGGTAGTGCTCAGCAAGCAGCCAACCAGCCTGAGTGATGGCGCAAAGTAAAAAATTATGTTAACGAGTGACGTGGCGCACGCCGATTGGTTGAAGTGCGTGACCTCACCGAGACCAAGCTGCCAACCAGAGGGGCAGAATGTTACAGTAAAAAATGTCAGCGTATTATTACATAAGATAAGCTAATAATAACTGCGTAACAAAATGTATTTTTTGTTCCCGGGTAGTAAGTGTTATTTTCTAATTGCTTATGCCTCAAAAGTACAGATGAATGGCTACTGTTCCCCACAAACTTTGCTTTTGTGACCAGGACACAAAAGCAAAGTTAATAATCCACTCCATTAATAACACTGTGTAACAAATTATTTGGGTCTTTCGGTAAAGCCACGTAGATAGAAAAATAATAAAAATACTCACAATATCACGACGTTTCGATCGCATCACAAGCAATCGTCATCAGATGAGAGCTGCTGAAGCAGGAAAAAATATATGGTGGGAGTGCTGCTAAGGCAGGGAGTTATGAGGTTTGAGATGGGTTTAGCCCAAGGGTCAGTGGGCGGGGCGAGAGATGAACTTTGCATGTAAATGTAAGATAGGAGAAATCTTGATAAACGAAGCTGTGGGGGTAGCCATTGTATTGTGAGAGATTAGCATGTCAATGTAAGAAATTTGCTTATAAATGTAAGCTAAAGAGAGCTCGGAAAGGAACATTGCCATATGGAGGTAGAAAAGGATGGTAAGCCGCCATTTACTAACACAGCTAACGGTGGCTGTCTTAGTGAATGTAACGCAGAGAGTCGAAAATAACTGCTAACATAGGTAGGTAGGAAGGGAACAACACAGCCAGTTATGACCTAAACTGGTTAATAACGTCCTTCCAATGATTGTGCAGTTTGTATTTTGAAAATTACCTATTTTCAAATTTTAAAAAATGTGTGCATTTGTGTCATTCCTTCACATAAAGTCCTGATCACCAAAGAAAAGTGTGTGGGGAATAATCGCCATTTTCTCGGCTTTTGAGACGAAAAGCAATTAGAAAATAACACTTACTACCCAGGAACAAAAATCGTGTTACATAGTATATAATCTTCTATTCTTCATTATTGTCCTGAATAATAGGTGTACTTAAAAATGTTATCTCATCTATAAGAGAGTGGCTTAGGGTGTTGTGCGGTTTCAGCTCGCACGAAAATAGCTTAAATGTATCTGCAAACAAAAAATGAATCGTAAACCTTGAATGCTACACCAAATTTTATTGTTGTGAATGTAATCACGACTAGAAAAAGATCGATAACATTGTAAACACTATCACCATAGACAACCATCTTCGCCAAAGTTAACCAACCGTACGCATGTTTAGCTTCGAAAGTATAATTGCCGAGTGGTTAATTTATAAGAAATTTAATTTTGACTCCGTGGTTGTAATATATGGGTTTTATTTTGCGTGACCGCCAACCGCATTGGAACGCTCGGGATGGAGGAGGGCAGCAAGCGTAGATTTGTATCACCCCCACGCGCGGTTGATCACCTTTCATGGGTTTCATTGCGGTTCCACGACACAATCAACTCGCTTCAAATGAACCCAAGCTGCCTTAAGGTTGCCGTTAGCATTTTATCTTAAAAACAATTGGATGACGTGCAGGAAAAGTGCACCGCTTTCATCTTCTTGGGCTATCGTAAAGAAGGGCGAGCTGTGGAATTGTTTTTGGTACTCAAAATATTTATCTTGTGGCACTTTGTAGACAGCCCATCATCAGAACATTTTAAGTAACACATTAAGTAGAAATAATGACACCAGTCGGCCAAAATGTCGATATCTTTTCGTTCTTGGTGACAGCATGAAAACCATGGTGGTGAGATGTTAACTACCTTCTCTGGTAGGCAGGAGGCCGTGGGTTCAATCCTGACCATGACGCCTGCTGTATATTTGCAGTTTGCATGTTCTCCCCGTGGTCCCCCGGTTTTTCCCCTCCACATTTAGAATCGACATGCGTTCAGAGTATTTGTCTGCTATAAATGTCCACATGGTAAGCCACCTTGTTGAGCTATAATTATTGACCAGGTCACTTCTCGTAAAATGGAAATTGTTAGTTAAAACCATTGTTATTTGTACTTAACCTTTTTATTTTGCATGGACGTTCACCGTGTCGACATCCTAAAAACTTTGACAAACAACATTTGCAAATTGCAGTTGGAACCCTGTTATATGGACAGCGTGGCTTACAAACACACACATGTGTATATCGTTTTGTTTCAACGCGACGATTCAGGTCGAGTAACGAATGAAGGTGTGAAGAAACGTTTCCGATTCTGTGCTATGCGCGGCAAGCGCGGATACATTTTAAGGTGAAAATGCAGCGTGATTGGGTTAACATTGAAGGTTAATCAGGAGACAAATATTAAATCAGATGGATTATAAGAATACATGGAGGGTTGCGTTGTAGGTCGTCCGTCTTGCTCCGATGTTCTCTGTTCTTTAAATGAGTCCAGGTATCGGGCCGGAGCCCGAGCCGCTGCCGCTGAATATATCGGGGCTCACGGTGAAAGCCTTCAACACAAACAGTGAGAGGTGAACATTAACAGACAATCCATTTGTGATGCATTGCATAGGGACTTTAACATTAAAAACGTAATCTTCAAATGAAACAGGTTAACACCTGTGCAGGGACATGCACCACGTTGGTGAAACCCAGCGGTATCCATCCGGTAAACATGGAACGTTGGGATAACGGTTCCAACCACATGTCAACAACGTTGGTTCAACGTTACATGTTTACTGGACAGCAGCTTCAGCAAACGGGCGCTGCGGTGGCGAGCTATTAACTACCTCGCCTGGTATGTATGAGGTTGTGGGTTTGATCCCGACCCTGACGTCCTCATATTTGGAGTTTGCGTTGTCTCTCTCACTCCCCCTGTGGTCTCTCGGATTTTTCTCTGGGTCCTCGGATTTTTCTCTCGACATTTAGAAACCCTCAACATTTAGGATTAATATGCATTTCGAGTATTTGGCTGCTATGAATTTACACACGATAAGCCACTTTATTGAGCTATCATTTGTGGCCAGGTAGCTTTTGAAAAAGAGCTATATAAATAGCTCAGTGGTCCTTACCTGGTAAAATAAATAAACATGGTTTAGTTTAGTTTATTTGTCACCAGCCAATCACCGCCCCCCTGCTATGAACTCATCATGCCTGCCCTGGCAACGCGATGACATCAGGACCAATCCGGTGAGTGATGGTCAGAGAGGCCGCGCGATGGCAAAGCCGCTCTGCGCAGGCGGTTTGTATTTGCCCCCCGAACTCGCCAGTGAATGTGGAACCGCTCGGCCAACGCTGGTCCAACGGTTCCCACCCATGTGCCTACACTTTGGTCCAACATTGCATGTTTATTGGGTCGTTGCTCCTGCTCCATAATTGTTTTTGTTTTAGTCAGATCGCGTAATCACAATGCCGACATTGTGTGTTGCATAACCCTCCCCCACCTGATACAGCCGAATAAAATAGAGTTGTCACGTGAAAAATCACGCCAACTTTTCATTAGCACACCAGTACGTTGAAAGAGACATCCACAACATTGATCAATTCGGTGCTGTGGACTGCTGTTCAGCGGAAATATATGTTTTGTCCATTGTCAGTGGAGCAGTCCCGAGCAGCTGAGACTGTCACATTCCAGACAACTTCAACAAATGGAAACACATTCTTGCACATGATGCGATGCCGATGCATGAAACGTGAGCTCAAATCTTCTCCTGTCGGACAGAAAATGGAAAAATGTTTCTACTCTGGTTGGGTTTCTCTCATGGGGTTTTGTCACCGGTTACAGATTTGATTATCGTAATAACAAACTTTTACAAGGATATATGGAGTTTAGATATCCTGCGGGAAAGTGAATGTCAGGGGCAATTGGTCACGACATGTTCCATTGGTAATTTGAATAATGTTAATATATAATTATATTAAGCACAATATTAATAATATGATTAATATGACGTCACCCTGCTGCTCTATTTAAGACCGGGAGCAGGTGGAGGGCTTCACTATTCTGGCAAATTGCCCGATGATGCTGGTTGATGTAATTACCAGCGAAACGTCGTACTCCTCAAAAATTGTAAATGTTGTGGATTCACTCTTCAACACACCGGTGGGCTAAAGCAGTGAACTATTTGTCTTTTGTCAACGTGACACTTTTTTTTACTGATTGGCCGTGTCGGGTGGTGGAGGGTTGCGACACATTTATAAATAACGCGATCTTACCCAAAAACCTTTATTATTAATAATATTGACCGCGAAAGCCTACGTGTTAAACTGATTAATAATAGTATTGAATAATATTAATAATATTCATGAATTTAGTGAAGCATGGTTTAGAGTCCCACATACGAAACCAGTTGGCTCTGGTGTCTTGGCAGGTACTGACTCATAATTCTTAGGCTCATGTTCCATGCATAAAATCGCCCGTATAAAACAAATTCCGTGCTAATTGACCTATAGACTATGGGAATGATGCACAAGTCTGCAAATGAGATGGACAATACTAATAGTAAGATGGTAACACAAGTTAGACACTGTTATTCTGTAATAGAAACGTGACGCTGAATTATGCCTATTCATTGAATATCTGTGCGAGTGAATGATTATATGATATGCATATGAACTCATGTGGGGGTTGTGCACTGATGCAGTGGTTAATGGCAATGCACTATGCACCTGGTGGCGTGAGTTGATTCCCAGCCATGGCTAAGACCATAGGCAAGTGATTTTTGAATCAGTCATGTCGGTTAACCTGGTTCATACATCTCAGCGATGCATTTATCCACAAGAGCTACTTGTTTATTGGGTTGTATCCTTAACACTCCTGCACATGGCCATGTGACGTGTGACTACAGGTCGCAAAAAAAATGCTTGTGTTCTTTTCTGCTGCGCAAAGAGAGGTCCTCCCTGTATGGCCACAGGCCACAAACCGCCTCCACGCCTGCTAAACGTGTCCCGCATCGTCACTTGTCTTACGTCCGGCAGGGCCGAGGGGTTCGTGTATGCAAGTCCGAGTCCTCCGGTCGGTGCCGCTGTCTGCAGACAATACAAAAGCAATCCCACCATCACTGAAAGTCCGTTTCTCTTGAAAACCAGTGACACCAATTTTAGTTTCCGCCGTTTTTCGCTTTTGTAAATCATCATTATTTGTATTGCTTCTCCGAGTCTCATGACTCGTTTTCAGGGGAGGGTCTTGCCAAGTTTTCCGCAGGAGGGAACAGATTGTTTCAATGGGAATTCCAATTCAGTGCTTTTCGGCGACGTTTTTCAGGTTGAGCTAATTTCGACCATGACGCCGGCACACAATGGCCTATACTCGTGCGAACTGTGAACCAGACGGCGAGAAGTATTCAACGATTAATATATCTGCAGTACCAATCATCCCGCAGTATACGGCCACATTATTAATCATCCGCAGTTTGTGGTGATACAGAAAAGTCACAGTTAAGTAACGATACCAAATTGTTGTAATTATTTATACAATATTTTAGGATGTGTTAGATATGTACCTTGATATCAATACAACCAATACAATAAATGATGGTAGGTATGTCAGGTGCACGAGACACCAAAACATCAAACAGAATCCACTATGTACGATATTAACACATCCAACAGTATTAGATCTGTTCAGAAGTTAACGAGTGGCAGAGTTTCACTGTGTGTGGTCTCACCAGTCAATATGTAGGCATATTCAAATACAGGGTGTTTAAAAAAAATTTACCCGATTTGAAATCGCTATATCTTTGCAACCACGAACCGCCCATGAATGAAACTCTTACCACTTGAAAGGGCGGGGCACAGAGTTTTAAATGATTACCGCTAGCTGCCTCTCCCAGCGTACAAACAGCCCCGAGCCTCAGTCATTCCCAAGACACACTGCCTCAACGTTGGATAGGTCGCACAGGACCCCAAGACTTGGCGCTACACTCTTGGCCCCCAAGATCCCCAGACACCACACCCTGCGACTTTTTCTTGTGGGGATACGTCAAAGACCGTGTTTTTGTGCCACCGTTAGCGACTAATCTCGATGACCTCAAAAACAGAATCACGGCAGCGGTGACTTCAGTGGAAGAAGACACTTTGAGAGATGTTTGGGACGAATTCAACTATCGTCTCGATGTTGTCCGTACAGCAGGTGGAGGGCACATAGAGCATTTATATAATGGTTAGTAAAACACGTAGGTTTCGCGACCAATATTATTCATAATCAACGTTTTTGGGTTTAGATCGCGTTATTTATAAATGTGTCGTAACCCTCCACCACCCGACACGGCCAATCAGTAAAAAGTGTCACGTTGACAAAAGACAAATAGTTCACTGCTTTAGCCCACCGGTGTGTTGAAGCGTGAAACCACAACATTTACAATTTTTGAGTACGACGTTTCGCTGGTAATTGCATCCAGAATTGCCCGATGATGCTGGATGCAATTACCAGCGAAACGTCGTACTCAAACATTTTTAATGTTGTGGTTTCACGCTTCAACACATCGGTGGGCTAAAGCAGTGAACTATTTGTCTTTTGTCAACGTGACACTTTTTAGTGATTGGCCGTGTCGGGTGGTGGAGGGTTACGACACATTTATAAATAACGCGATCGAAACCCAAAAACGTTGATTATGAATGGTTAGTAAAACTTGATAACTCATTAAACCCGTTGTAACTTTTCGTGTAATCGTAACATGTTGCCATCGTGAAATATACTGCTTTGAAATTGGGTCCATATTTTAAAACACTCTGTATATTCGTATGCTCACTATATGTTACTTGAAAATGCCTTCATGTACATCCTGTGTGTGATTAAATAATGGGAACAGTGCTAATGGTGCCTCCGATTAGCACGGTTGGCTGCGTTTGGTGCGAAAGAAGTTCATATATCATCCAGAATCTATCAACTGCTGGATGAAAGCCTGCCTATAGCCTCCGCCGTTTCTCAATATCCTGAGATGTAGCGATCCATCGAGCACCTGCACGAAAGCTAATTTCATGACTCCATCTCCGCGGAAGACCCTTCTCAATGTGGGATGTTCCTTTGGCAGCCATTCTTCCAATTTGTCTCGACCACTCTCCGTCATCCCATCTCGCCACGGCGTTTCCTGCCCAAAGTCTCCTTTACTTATATTAACAGTCAATGTGACCTCTCGAACTTGCGTGCGCTCTCCAAGCCACTGTTCTCCTCGCTCGCGGTCTCGATGTCATTCCAAGCGCTGCCGCTCTTGGTGCTTTCGTTGCACGCGCGCATCTTTTGTTCCGTTGTTTTGCGTTTCAGAGGCCGCGTGTCAAATCAGGTCATCCTGGATGGAAGGTCGATTAAACACGTTCCTCTTTCGCAACATTGCTACGATGATTTTTTTTATGATTAAGTTGAAAAAAAGCACCCAAACTGCTCTCGTTCACCTCTTTATTCCATCCTTTAGCTTCTAGTTTCGCAAACTTTTCTAAGATGAATAATACATTCGCCGTTCGCCTGCGTGTTTCTTTGATTCTACAGTACAGAGGTTTTAGAAAATACTTTCTAATTTTCGCATGAACAGCGTTGGTGAGAGCGTATCTCCTTATCTGACTATTTCATTCCTGTTACAATGCGTTGTGCAATCTCGGTGCGCCTGTTCTCTCATCAGTATTATGGTTGACGTGATATCATATTTAACGGTGGTTCATGAGATACGATATCCAATTTCATTGTGCAATGAGCCTGGCAGCATGAGTTCAAAGTCACAGCCATCGCCCGGAATTGTAAAGCGATATCTGAACCGGTCCCTTGGCGACCACTGCTTCATCAACCCGCAATGACCAGCGCGGGGAAGTATGGTCAAACAACCGCCACAACCGACACGGCATGAGGAGTGTTTTCATCCATCAGTTTTAGCATAGGGCCGTCATTTAACGTTACTGTGGACTTCCTGTCACACTCTAAATGTTTAAATAGATCAAATTATTTGGTAAGTGTACATTTTAAATGCGTAATTAAAAAAAAGAAAAATGTGTCCTTTGCTGCAAAGCTTCCTTCCATACTGTTCCCCAGATGTTTATATTGTTTCCTGGTATAGACACACAAAAGCGATCTGTGCGGACCAAATGCTGTATTTCGACATCGAACGCTCCCATGTCCACATTCACAAACACACGCACGGGATTTTTCCACTTCTCACGGTCCATCTCGCACACGCGTGTGTACAACGTGTAAACGTGTCCGTGTTCGATGTCATGTGTGCACGATCGGACAGCGAATGCGTTGGTCGATGGGCATGCCCGATCATCCTGAGCGCCAGTGCGAATCCCATCAACGATAATCCCATCGCAATGTGCTGCTAAAATTACACCTTCACGGGTACAAAGCCTGGGTTTCAATCCAGGCAGGTGCCCATGATTAACCAAGATTCTGAAGTTCAGGGAGTTGAAGGTCTCAGCCCAGTTACCTGTGTGTTAAAAAACCCAACAGATACAATTTTGTTCCTCTACACTTCATTTGGATAATATTCAGGCCTGATAATTTAAAAAATATCAATTTGACTGTCATCCGAGAAACGTTATTACGTGGTAGAGCAGGTTGAAATTTGCTGCCCTTTTAGTTTGGGAAAGAGGTCGCCTAAAGTAGTTTTGTGATGTATTCTTCCCAGGACCATTCTGGAAAACGGCGGATTGCCTTGCTCTTTAAGGGTTCTGAAAGTATTATTTATATAAAACTATATTCTGCAGCAGCAGGAAAAATAACTCATCATGTATATTGCACTTTTTTGCACCGTACTTGGCCAAACGTGCTAATCGGAGGTGCTGGGAAGGACAACCAACTAAACGCAATGCTGCTTGAGCCGAAGGCAGACGGTCATCTCTTGGGCGATCGAACCATCTCAACGACACATCAGTAAAACCTACCACTTGTTCTGAATGATTAAACAAACACCCCCCTCTGGGTGATTCTGCCCGATACAAAGAAAGACGCAAGCACGAGGGCCGTCTCACCTGCATGCCCAGGGTGGTCGGTGCGCAGTGGCTGGCGTGGGATAACATCGCAAGGACGCAGAGGAAAACGGCAGCGCTCCGCGGCGACATCTTGACTGGTTGCCTGTGTTGGAAACAGGGATGAGCAAAGTGAGAATGGAGGAATATGGCCGCTGTGCTTTTTGCTTTAAATGTCCAGAAATTATTCAAATGGCGTTGGTGACGTGTGTAATTTTTACACAATGCCGTACGGCCGTGCGAAGCGTCGCTCTCTGGTGTCAGTGTGCAACGGACATTCAAGTGCTCACGCTCGCTAGGTGAATGTTTTGAATTGCCTCTTGCCATTTGAAGAATAACAAAGGTTTATTTCACGGCAGGGTGTGGTCACGAACTGTCAGTCATTCATCACGTCAATGGTGGTGATTGCATTTCAGGACGTTGCAATAATGGGCCACGGTTCTCTCGAAAATGAATTGTCTTGATGTTTTGTGAAAAACGCCGTGCGGTTCCATTGACATCGCCTGCAGTGTTGTAACGAAAACAGAGCAAACGCTTCCGCAACAGAGCGGCACACCGCGCCAACACGATGCACTCAAAGCCTGCCAAGAGATAACGCCACATTCGCGTACGTAACGCGTTTGAGATGTTGTTTTTATTAAGTCTTACCATTAATACCGGTCGTAATTTCTCAAATAAAGTTTTTGTTTTGTTAAATCGGCGTTGCTAAAAACGCCCGGCCTGAGATACATACTGTACCTCATTTCCTTTTGTCGCCGTAGATATTTGTATCTCCTCAAAACTGTGGAATTTGCTGACTTCGCGTTGGGTTTTTCGTAAAAAGAAATTAATTGGCAGCCACTTAAAATATTTGTCAGCTGGAGGCTATTGTTGTTGTTGTTGTTCCCTGTTGCCATAAGGACAATGAGGACTGTAATCATGGACGTAACAATCTACAGTAGACTCTCCATTATCCGTGCTAATGATGGGGAGGATAACCGCAGATAATTCAAAATCGCTGATAATACAAAATGTTTTTTTCCCGGGCATCTCTATGCCAAAAACCCACGACTATAGGTATACATTATTTTTAAGTAAAGAAAATTGAGTTTGTTAATGAACAAAGCTAATATTTGTGGTAAAGAATCGACCGATCGATAATGCACGTGCTCAGTGGTAACACCTTCCTGTTCCCGCAGCCGATGAAGTGGTTGGCAGAGCCACGCCAATCAAAGTCAATCAAACTCCGCCCGTTGTTTTACAGATATGCAACTACTGTACTGTAGAGGAGATCACGTGGATTTCGGATTACCCGGAGCAACAGATTTGTTCGGTTTAAGAACGAGACTAGTAATAAACATTTGCAAGAATAACAATGTACTGTATTAACTGTTTTTAGAATACAGTATTAAGTTGGGCTTAAGACCCTGGGGCCGATCCAGGACACGCTGGCAGGACGATGTCGCTCGGCTGGCCTGGGAACGCCTGGGAATTCCCTAGGAAGAGCTAGAGTCTGTGTGTAGTAGTGTATAGTCGTGTATGGTGTCGTGTATAGTAGTGTATGGTGTAGTCGTGCTCGAGTCTTTCGCCAGGGAAAGGGAAGTCTGGACCGCCCTACTCAACATGCAGCTGCCGCGACCCTCACCAGGGCAGGCGGACTGATAAGGAAACGAACGAACAAATTTGAATTGAAGGGGAAATCCACGAGTTATTAATTTATGTAAAAATCTCATGTACACAGCTAATCTGCAAATCAGATAAACCGCACCCGGATAATCGAGAGTCGGCTGTATTTCAATGGGGGCCCTATGCCAGATGTCGACTGTGGGGCCTTCTCCTGTCTCCCGATTCACTTTGACTGAAATAGCGATGGATGTTTTTAACCCGTATACAATAATGTTAGCTATAACTAAATATTATTTTAGCTTCACCGTATACTGGGTTTAGAGGAAGACAGTCTCACAGTGACAGTATTAAGAAGAAACATATGTAAAGGTCTTGGATTTCCGCAACGGGAGGTGGATTGCACAACTTCATGCTGCTCTATTCATACGATAGCCAGATGCGTTAATCGGTTTTGGTCCATGGTAGACTACAGGTAATTTTTTGTTATGAATTCAAAACCATTTGAATTATTTTCTTAACATTTCCTTCTTGCGTGTCTGTTAATTCTGGGCCCCCTTTGTGGCCAACTGGGCACCTATGTGTCGCATGACGCTGCCAACCCCACCCATGGTGGCGCCTCTGACTGCGATCGTTTTTTCACCTCACACGCATCCCTCGCTTCCTACCCCGACCCTGGTCCCCTACATTACTGTGGGATGAGGGCACCTCACCACGCCATGCGGGTCACGGAGGATTTTTGACCATGTTTCACCGCGCTGCGTCAGTGCGGGTTGGTGAAGGCAGGGAGCGTAAGCGTGGGAACATTGAAGTACAGTACAACAATGTATTTTATAAGACTCAACTCCCCGGCCTATCACGTAAGTGATGTGGTTACCTTGTATTATCACTACTATCGTATTTTTATGTTATTTGTTGTAACGTTCTTACCCGCCATGTGCAAAGAGCCTCATAGCTCATCGGATTTCGCCCTCCGGTATAAATGCATATTCTGATTCTGAGCTCTGACAGCTGTTGTACATCGTCGTTGGCCATACAAGCAGCACTTTACCGTCCACTCATTGATATGCTAATTTTCTCTGCCCCCTCCCTCTCTCCGTCCCTGCCCCCCTCTCTATATTTAAGGGACCGTCACAGAAACGACCCCTCTCTTTGTGCCGATATGTGTCCTCTCTCTGTGTGTCCTTGTGATGTCTGTCTGCCTGTATGTCTGTCTATAGTTTTCTAGTTAGATTTTTGTTGCTATTTCTTTTTTTGCCTGATGATGATTGCTTGTGTTGCAATCGAAACGTCGTAATATGCTTTTATTTTAATTTATTATTTTATCTTCAGACGTGACTTAACCGAAAGAACCAAAGAATAATTCCTGCAGTCACGAAAGCTCCATAATTAAGATTAAGCACTATACAGGTTCAGCACCTGCTTAAGCTTCTTAGACCTCATGCGATGGAGTGCAGGCTTTTTCAATGCCTTCATCTGTCTGCTGCAATGCCTCAAAGCTACTGTGATACTTCCTCAACAAATAACACCAATTGGCTCCAACTTTGCTACGAATTTCTGCCCCCATCTCCAAACTTTACTCTTATCGAAAAAATAACAACTCGTTACTTTCGTTTAACCTCTCACAAACATATCTCCCTTCACAATCATCACGATTCTGTTCCCAGGGCGTTATCTTTTTCTCGGAATCCTCTTTCTGTGGGGTTTCAAACGGTTGTGTTGTCCTTGGCCCTCTGCTCTTCTTTATCGCTGTAAGCGTTTCGGTAAGGATGGGGAAATCAGCTGCGAATTCTGGTAACAAATGTGGGACTCATTTGGAAGGAAAGCAGGGCTAATGCTGCATACCACTTTGATCAACACGCACGTGCGTTAGAACGCGAGTGATGGAGTGCAGTCATGGATTTGTGTGTACAATTTGCACGTTTCCACTACACATATCTTTCTACGGTTGAATCTCTAACTTAAGGGAGGCTTTATTCGTGAACTTGCTTCCAGTTTGTTTGTTTCTTAAAATCTGTTTTCGAACATTTAATCCTCAGCGGACTATGGGCGTCATAGCATGAGATGGAAACATCTATTCAGCACTTTTAACAAAAAGTGCATCTTTTGATTTAAAGCTTTCGTGACTGCAGGGATTCATATTCTTGGTTCTTTCGGTAAAGTCACGTAGAAGGGAAATACTAAAATAATAAAAATATAAAACAATAAAATGCTCACGACGTTTCGACTGCAACACAAGCAATCATCATCAGGTGTGAAATCCACAGCAAGAAATTTTGAAAAAAAGTGGCGTTTTTTTCTTGCTGTTGATTTCACACCTGATGATGATTGCTTGTGTTGCAGTCGAAACGTCGTGAGAATTACATTTTTTATATTTCTATTATTTTATTATTTCCCTTCTACGTGACTTTACCGAAAGAACCAAGAATATAATAAGTATAACCCGTAAAAACAAAGTTTTTCACTATAAATCCTTTATATGCGTGGCGGCTAGAGTCCTCTCGTCCTCTGGCTTGAGATGGCTGCCACCTATGGGTCAGATGATTGTCTGCCAGTATTAAGCAATTGGTAATTAAATATTTAATTAGTTTTCCCTAAACAGTGTAAAATTTTGGAAAAAAAATTTCACGAACATTAATTGTCTCGCACAACGAGTCTGTGTGCAAAATGTCAGCTCGATTGGATCACGGGAAGTGGGTTAAAAAACGACCGAAATATTTGCACGGTCGTAAGCAAGCAAGCAAGCACGCAAGCACGCAAGCAAGCAAGCGAACTTAATATAAAGGATTTAAAAAGTGCATCCTCCACGCTGAAAAAATATCGTAGAAACGCATCTCTTATATCTTCAAGAGACATCTCATCCACACTAGGAGGCAGAACATCTCTACTCGCCCTGCTCCAGAGGGTCATGGTGCTACACGACAGTCAAACCAACATTATTGATTCTGATAGCTGGAATTTAGCCCAACAGTGCAAATCCAAATGTAACTGTGGTCCTCGGTGGTTCTTTTCAAATAAAGATTGTAACTAAGGGTTTTAAACTGTCATGGTGACCTCTGGGTTGCAAGGCCAGTTTGGTACCCATCACACCACGACAGCGTCCTTTATATATGCTGTGTGTCTATGCAGGGCTTATACTGGTAGGAACCTCTTGGTTACACCAGCTCACAGGGGATTATTGTGTCCGTCCGTTGTGCAGGGAGGGGCTGGGTGGGGAGGGAGGGGCTGGGTGGGGAGGGGAGGGTGGGGTGGGGAGGGGCTGGGTGGGGAGGGTGGGGCTGGGTGGGGAGGGGAGGGTGGGGAGGGGCTGGGTGGGGAGGGTGGTGAGGGGCTGGGTGGGGAGGGTGGGGAGGGGCTGGATGGGGAGGGGCTGCTCACCCCGTGGTGCCCTTATAAAACTCAACGTTTAACCTACTCACGCCGGCTTGTGCCCGCCCTCACAGTCGGGCATATTTGCGGAATACACCGCGCCGCCGTTGACCCTGGCCATTGACCGAGCATCCCAACGTTCCTACCAGCTCCCTCCGCAGGAATGT